GGTGGTAGTAGTGGTAGTAGCAGTAGTAGTTATACTAGTAGTAGGCGTGGTAGTAGTGGTGGTAGTAGTAGTAGTAGCAGTAGTAGCAGTACTAGTAGTAGTGGTAGCAGTAGAAGTAACAGTAATAGTAGTAGAGGCCGCCGAAGGGTGTCCTAATTTTCGCGCGGGAGGGGGGCGCCCACACAACCTCTACCCCGGCCGGGGTGCGGGGGGAAGGGCGCGACTACTACTACTTCTCGTAGCACAGAAACCTTCTTACAATCCCTCGTAACACAGAATCCTTCTTAAACGCCTTGTAGGGCAAAATCCTCTAACAGGCCAGCGGGCTGGGGGGAAGCACGACTAACTACTACTACTACTACTACTACTACTGCTACTACAACTACTACAACTACAACTACAACTACTACTACTACTACTACCACTACTACTACTACTACTACTACTACTACTTACTACCACCACCACCACCACTACTACTACTACTACCACTTCTGCTTCTACTACTACTACTACTACTACTACTCCTGCTGCTGCTGCTGCTACTACCACTACTACTACTACTACTACCACTGCTACCACTGCCACCACTACTACCACTACTACTACTACTACCACTACTACTACTACCACCACTACTACCACCACCACTACTACTACTATACTACTACTACTATACTACTACTACTACTACTACTACTACTACGACGACGACGACTACTACTACTACTACTACTACTACTTACTACCACCACCACTACTACTACCACTTCTGCCACTACTACTACTACTACTACTACTCCTGCTGCTGCTACTACCACTACTACTACTACTACTACTACCACTGCTACCACTGCCACCACTCCTACCACTACTACTACTACTACCACCACTACTACTACTACCACCACTACTACCACCACCACTACTACTACTATACTACTACTACTACTACCACTACTACTACTAACTACTTTTCGTAGCCCAAATTCATGCTCAGATACACGCACAAGCAGACCAACTACACCGCAGCGTTCCACGCAGCGAGCAACGGGAGGAGAGCAGCTGCAACGCCACGTCTGTGGACTCCTCCAACATCTGTGCGCTGGGAGGGCGCTTGGCCGATGTCTCCGCCATGGCCAGGCCATGGCGCACGACGACTCGTACGTCTCGTTCTGACAACCTCCTCGCAAAGCAACCTTCCTACAAGCCCTCGTAGCACAGAAAACCTTTCCGACCTCTACCCAACCCGGGCGGAGCCGGTGGGGCAGGACTACCGCTACTTCTTGTCGCACTGCATCATGCTTGGAAGGCCTCGTAGCAGGGAATCCTTCTTACAAGCCCTCGTATAGCACAGACTTCATCGTAACACAGAATATGTCCGACCATCCTCGTCGCCGAAAAATCCTGCCTTTGGACAAATCCTGACCAGCGGGCCGGGGGGGCGCGACTATTATTACTACTTCTCGTAGCGTCGAAACTTTCTGACAACCCCTCGTAGCACAGAATGTAGCACAGAATCCTGCGTAATTGCCTCGCAGCACAGAATCCTTCTTAAAGGCATCCTTCTTAATTGCCTCGCAGCACAGGATCCCTCTTAAAGGCATCGCGGCGCAGAATCCTTCTGACCAGCGGGCGCGGGGGAGGGGAGCGCGACGACGACGACGACGACGACGATGACGACGACGACTACTACTACTACAACTTCTCGTAGCACAGAACCCTTCTTACAACCCCTCGTAGCACAGAATACTTCTTATAATTGCCTTGTAGCGCGCAATCATTCTTCAAGGCCTCCTTCTTAATTGCCTCGCAACGCAGAATCCTTCTTAATGGTATCGTAGCTCGTAATAGTCACGCCCCCCTCGCGCCGACGATTACTTTTCCCAGTTCGAGGCCGGGCGGGCACAACTACTACTTTCTCGGGGGCGTCCTGTAGTAGTAGTACTAGTACTAGTAGCTAGTAGCTAGTAGCTAGTAGCTAGTAGCTAGTAGCTAGTAGTAGTAGTAGTAGTAGTAATGGTAGTGGTAGTGGTAGTGGTAGTGGTAGGGGTAGTGGTGCTAGTGCTAGTGCTAGTGCTAGTGCTAGTGCTAGTAGTAGTAGTAGTAGTAGTAATAGTAGTAGTAGTAGTAGTCGTAGTAGTAGTAGTAGTAGTAGGCGAAGGCGCAGGAGTAAGCGTAGGAGTAGGAGTAGTAGTAGTAGTCGTCGTCGTCGTCGTAGTAGTAGTAGTAGTGGCAGTAGCAGTAGCAGTAGCTACTAGTAGTAGTAATAGTAGTAGTAGTAGTAGAAGTAGTAGTAGAAGTAGTAGTAGTAGTAGTAGTCGTGTTGTGGTAGTGGTAGTGGTAGTGGTAGTGGTAGTGGTAGTGGTAGTGGT